AAAAAAGAAAAAGAAAAAGAAAAACAAAGAAAAGAATAAAAAAAAAAAGTAAATATTTATATATAAATTTCTAAGTTCAAATAATAAAGCTACACTACTATTAACTAATTAGTGCGGTCGCTATTTAATTACAATGAAGTTGTACAAGTAGTTTTAATAAAAAGTACAAATATATAAAGGAAAAGAAAGGGGGCAGTAATATTATGGAACTACTATCGGGGTACTATAGCTCTATTTTATAATTAAAGCTAATATATAGCGCCGTAGCTATATCGGTACCGCTTATATCAAAACCTCGCTCTTGTAGTGGTGCTGCTTCTTAAATAGACTTTTTCTTCTTTATAAAACCTCAATTAAACTATACAACCAGCAGTCGTATTAACCGTGCTGTCTCCGTTATAATTTGTTATAAATTATCCTTAAATTTAGATTTTATTATAATATTAAACTAGTTGCCATTGGGAAAAATATTGTAGTCTTCGTGGAAAAAGTTTATAAAGTTGCTGATTGATTGCTTATAGCAAGCTTAAAAAGTCCTTTAAAAAAGCTAATTTCAAATTCAAATTAACATATAATACTCTTTATATAGTTTTTATTACCTATATAAATTTTCAAGAGAATATTTTACTTTTTCGCGCTCTTTTTATTGAATTTGACCGGGGGTGAGGGGTGACCAGGCTGGGGGTCATGACGTCTAGGCTCCCAGAACGTTACAGCGGGCCTGCGGGGGTCTTGCAGATGGGGGCCAGTCTAAACTGAGAGGAGTTTAAAGGGTATTCCAATCGAGTGAGAAGATGCGGTACACTGAATGAGGAAGCCTGCCGAGAGGGGTTTGCTTTCAGGTAACGCCAGAGCTGCAGCAAGTGCGGTTCGGAACGGAAAAACAGCCGAGACCAACTTACATGGCGAAGGTAGGCTTCATTTCATGCTCACGTCGAGCTCTCATCCCCATATTCTCGTTCATCATCCTTACAACCCCGCATTGTGCGACGTTATCCCGGGCCAAACAACCTTCGAATTCAACATTCGGTTTGCCGGGGCTCAAGCCACCAAGTCTACCCACTACAACGATCAGATGGAGATTCTCGATTTCCCATCGCTGACCGGTTCTCTGCCATTGGTCACAGTAACGTCTCACCAACTGTCTCCCATGACGGGAACTTTCAATCCGGCCCCAGGCATGGCAGGCTGGCAGGCCTTGGGCAGTATTGCGAGCCGATTACCAACCAAGAGGTACCGCATCTAAGAATGTGTGGGTGTCGAGAGATAAAGTATCTCTTGTGCAGGTAGACGCTTCCAAGTCACAGGCTGTCCGGATCCTGAACACAGTGTTGCGTCGGTCTCCGGAGTTCAGCAAACACCTCATCGGATCCAGGCCCAAGCGCATCGCCCCGCGTCCACAACTGCTATTTAGCTGAGGGGTTGAGATGGGATGAAGCAACTCGAATCGCCAGTGAAGCTCTATGGAGGGTGAAGCCGAGCTAACCTCGTACGCCGCCGACCAAAGCTGCACCTCCAGGCACGGTATCTTCTGCGCAGGGAACAATGCTGCATATCATGGCTTTCTCCTCACCTCGGCTCAAGACCGGGCATTTGATTATTAAGGTTGGGAGGCCAACAAAGCAGACGGAGCCGAGAGGAGCTCAAAGCTTGGGCTTGCCTAACCCAGATGCATCCCAGGATCATGAAATCTTTGGGGACCTGCTCCTTCTGTCTCCGCTTGTCCAATCCTGTCTGCTCAGTCCGCCACGCTAACAACATGGTGTAGCACGGAGGAAAGCATAAGGGTACGGTCATTGTTGCCTGCCTTATACCAGAAAAGAGGTACCATCCATCCCACCTGATGGTAGCCATGGTGGTATCAGACATATTCCGTCAATGTTGCCTGTTCACCAAATGCAAATCCAAGGCCAACTTCCAGATGCGTTTTTCTTTTCCGAGCTGGTGTTTGACAGTTGGTCATTGTTCCCAATCAACTTGGAAAGATCACCATGTCTTCTTCCTTCACCTAACCTCGAATTCCTGCCAGAGACAGCGCACCCAGAGTCTCGATAATCGGCATTCCTATTTCTTTTCGAACTCTCCTTTTTAGATTTTGCTGCATTTCGGGTGCCCAGACAACCGGGCTCCTAGAAATGCAGGATCGAGGAAGGCGCATTGCCTTCTGTTTTCGAGAGTGAACCAGTCCGGTCACACAACGCTCCGGTTTCGTCCCCAACCAGAAAGACGACTTCATCTTATTTCCCAAATAAAATCTACAACTTGGGCAGGTAAGGGTCACGGCCTGTGTTTGAACACTGAAAACAGTCTTCAGTAAAGGCAGTCACGTCCCGTACCAGCCGCCAGATCATTTGCGTTCCTTCCTTCAACAGCCGATTGGACTGTCAGGCCATCAAGACAGCCGGGCTGCCAAGCCAAGCAGAACGGCAGCAGTACCCATCAAGGTACACAGAGCTACGGACAGTGATTGAAGGTGCCTGCCCCTTTTTGCAAAGCGTGGAAGCCCTCCGACTCAGACGCATAGGAATAGATTCCTTCCTTCTCGGTAAGTTGCTAGCCTGGACATCACTTTCCCTTTTTGCAGCAACGATCCTGATATTACCCCTTTTCGAGCTTCAGTTATGCGTATACGCTCGAATTCCTCCGCGTGCCTGCTTCAACACCCACCTTTCCGTCTTTTACTCAATCAGTCCCCCTTGAATCGGTGCTCAAGCGGAACTGGCTCGGCTGGGTTGCACACGAATGCCCTAAGCTTGGGCAATCACCCGGCCGCCCGGTCTTTCCATCCCCAGGAGGGCCGGAGCTCAGGCCCGGAGCAAAACATCCGTCGTGTTCCGGCCTTGACGCCGTCCAGCTTGTGCTTCCGAGTCCCTTCTACCGTATCTGTGTCATCCTCCATCATTATGCTGAGTTCGTCCCAATACACTTGTTGCCGTTCCTGATCGTTAACTCTTTTGTTGGCTCTAGTCACCCCTGAGTGTCACCAACACGCCATGGACACTCCCTCACACTTCTTCAGCGACTCATTGGCATACGAGGATTCCAACCCATACCAAGAGAACGACCAGGATGTCGTGTATGAAGTCCCTCACGAAATCCCCCACGGCATCTCCCACAATATTCCCCATGATGTCCCCCCTGATGTAGGCATGGGCGAGGCCGGGCTTCAGTCGTACCATGTTTTCGATCACAAGCTGTCCATCGACCAATCTCCAATACCGGGCGATGGCCCAACGTTAGGGGAGCGGCCGGGGATGGGATGGCTTCGCAGAACCAAGCGCCATGGAAACGAACAATAGGCTCTTTGTTGACCCGGGCCTATACGGAGGAGGAAGACATCAGGACGTGAACGGACTAGAAGGGCTCGGTGATCCGGACAGTATGGACGCGAATACAAGCTCTCTTTCCGATGTCATGTCACGGGTTTCCACTCGACGGTCTTCGAGCAATAAGTCAAACTCGCATCGATCATCCCAATCCGGTAGCATGTCGACGGACATAACTCCCCCAGACCAAGATCCGCCCAAGAAAAGGAAACCGAGAAAAAAGGACGCCAACATGGAGGCGGATGAGCACAAGAGGAACAAGTTCCTGGAGCGGAACCGACTCGCCGCGAGCAAGTGTCGGGAGAAGAAGAAGCTGTACACCCAGGAGTTGGAGGGAACAAAGATCAGCCTTGAAGCAAGAAACGGAAGTCTGCAAAGGGAATACAGTATTCTGCTCAGTGAGGTCAGCGATCTGAAGCACCAGTTAATGGTACACGCCAAGTGCAATGACCGCAACATCGACCTGTGGCTTGAGAACGAAGCTCGGCGTTTTGTCCAGACCAGCGATGCCTTTGGTCAACCGTTTGCCGGCCTGGGACAACCTGGACAGACTTCAGGCGTGCCAGGGGTGCCGGGATCCCCCAAAAGTCGACACGCAAGCATAGCTCCAAGCTACCCGGCAATGACAGGAGTCCAGCTCGGTGTTCTTAGACCAGGCGCAGAAGGGCAAGGCGGCAACGGCGGCGGCGGCGGCGGAGGAGGCGGATTGACATACGGTCAGTCACCGGGCATACTTGCTCCTCCAAATGCAAACACCACTGCTCCAACTCACGAGCAATCCGCTTCAGCTTCGGACCTATACCCAACTCCCGGTGGTGCCAGCGGTGGCTTCTCGAACACCATTCCCCCTGGTATGAAGAGAAAGCCTGACATTAACTATGACCACATGCCCGATGACATGTTCAGCGATCAGTCAACTTTTGGGGGCGGATAATGCGTGTGGTCTGGCTGGCAAGACTGAAGCCAAGGAAGAAAGAAGCTAGAGTTCTAGAGAAAGGGGTCAGCCGTTGCTTCCCTGCGTGGTTATATTGAACCTAATGTTTTGCGTGGCTGGTTTTGCGGCATCTCACCACTATCCTTTTTGACACTGTCGTTTCCATGGTTGCTTTGCCAGGCTTGAAATTATTATACGTTAAAACCCCCGTTCGCATGGGGTCATCGCGGAAGGTGCTGCTGGTGGAATTTGATGTTGATGTTTGGCAGCATATTGTCGGTGCATTTGTTGAAATGGCAAAGAGACGGGGCATGCATTGGGTGGAAAGTCGGAGGAGCAAGATTGCGGGCGCCGTTTTGATCGTACTATGAAGAGCATCATATTGCATTTGTTTCGGCATATCTTCGCTTGCTTGGTCAGCCGGATACAGTCGGAATGTCGTGCATAAGGCAAGTGGCATAGGAGTCATAGCAGTGCGAATCCGTGGTATGGTGCGTAGGAGGGGCCAAAAGCCATCATACTCGACATTTGGAAGACCTTCTGAACAACGATATAAGCGGATATACGACAAGGAAAATGCATATACGTACGTATAACTCGACACTGAAGATACGATTTGACGCTGGCATATGTACGCAATAACACAGCTGGAGACTCAATGATGGAGCAGTAGAATACGACAGTGGTAAAGGTAATATAACATGCGCTTCCTCAACACTCGAAGTTGGAAAAAAAAAAAAAAAAAAAGAAGTCTCAACCATAACCGTTTTGTTCTAGCATTACATAGGGGCCCAGCTGACCGGATACCAACCTCAACTTGAACCGGTGGCGTCACATGGCCAAGATGTTGACGTCTTTCTTCTCTAGCTAATTTTTCCCTTGGCTACTACCCTTTCCCACCTTGCTCTCATCTACACTACACTTTTATCTATCAATCAGACGAACCGTGACGCGAGTCGACGAGATCGAGCCGACTGGTTGGTGAAGTGGTGATCGGCAACTGAAGGCAAGCATTTTCTAGCAAAATGCCAAGACGTCGGAATGTTGTCATCGATCGACCAGGCGGTAGTAGTCTACCAAACACTTTTCTGTTCCTGGGAGGGTTACACCCGCAATTCAGCTAGATGTTGATTTGGGGGGTTATACTACTACTGATATGTTAACTATTCTAGACAGTAAATGTCAGGTTTAAAGAGTCCTGGTCTCTACGTACGTAGAGGGCATGTTTGATTTCTGGACATGCCCTAAATAGATGTTTATGTCCACACTTGGCTTTAGGGTATTTTCAACTACGCGAGTGACCTATAAGTTAAACGCAGTACTTGTACATACCTGCGTCTAAACCTATAGCTAGCGGCCGGACTGCATATTCTACGAAAGGTACCTACGAGTCAAAATCTAGGTACAGTATGGGGATGATTGACATGGCTTTACCATAGAGCATGCTCATCTTATGCGTTGTCGTATTGTGAAGAGGTACTGAATAAGGACACCTCAGGACTTCCATTTTCAAGTCACCCTCGATGGTTCTTCACTTCGCCATACCTAACAAGACCAATCGGATATGCCCTGCAGTTAGTTCAACAAGTCTTCTTCGGCTTCAGCGTCAGATACAGCCCCCCAGTTTGCTTTGCATAAAATCTTCACTGATTCCCAAATATCCGAATTGTCTTTTTGATAAACCAGGACGCCGTTATGGCCCTGAACCCAAAAATCCCATGTGACAAAATATCGTCTGAATCCAACATTGTCTAAAATGTAGTAGTGTAGCATGATCCCGGTGTACATGACCCAAACCCAGCCAAATATTCGTCGGCGAACCCGTCCGCCGTGGTATATAGGTAAAACGACAGAATATCCCTGAACGCCTGTCGCCCAGCCCATCCGCAACTTTTGATGCCCCTTTTGAATCCCAAGAAAATGACCAATCACCCATCCGTGAATCCCCAATGGAGTTAGTTGTTCACAGGATCTCCTCATCATCCTCCTGCATCGTCGGCGCAACAGCCGGTATCATGGTCGCAGCCATGAGGCTCTCGACGGCCGCATTCTCATCCATGCCCTCGACCTCGTCCTCCCAGTCGTCGCCGCCATCCTTGTCCAATATCCTCATCGTCATCACGCATAGAACGCGCGCACAGCCTCGTCCTCGGCCTTCTTCTGCAGGTCGACCTTCTTCTCCTTCTTAGGGGGCTCCTTGCCGATCTCAGCTAGCGCAACCACGTTGACGTCGTCCCACGTGCGCTTGCGCGACTCGATCACCGCGGCCTTGCGCAAGCTCTTGGCCTTTTTCGTCGAGGTGCGGTCCATGATGGCCTCGGCGCGGTCCATGCTCTTCTCCTGCCTCTTGCGCATCTTGGACGACAGCTGCTTCTTCTTGGCCTTCTTGGTGATGCCGCTGCTGTGGTGGGCGGCCAGGACGGTCGGGCGCAGGTTGACAGATTCTTGAGGGGGGCGGACGCCCTTGAGGGACTTGTCGAGATCGATGCCGGGAGAGGTCTGGCGGCGGGCGGCGCGAGAGTGTTTGCGGACAGCTATGGAAAAGAGGGCAGGGTGGTGTTAGGTAAAGTCATTGTTGAAAGGCGAGACAGTGTTTGATTGTTTAAGGGTGTTGCATTACTTACGCGCCGCCTTGTTGCTCTTTCCAATGGTTCCCTTGGCCATTTTGTTTTAGTTTGACTGAGGATTCTTGTTGCAGGTTGAAGAATCTGTCAGTTCACAGCGAAGTGTCCGGTGATGTTTCGCGGAAAGAGACCCTTCAAACCCGTCGACCCTTCCAAGTGCAGTGGGGGCCTCTTTTCTGTGGAGGGGTGTGAAATTCGGATGTCACTTGGGAACTTTTTTTCGACTGCAGCACCAACTGAATGCCCCACGCGTTGCGCCAAGAATTCTCTGGTTGGACAAGTAAAGGCAGGAGTGCCTGGCCTTCAGTCCCGCATGGCCCACCAAAAAGGGACAAGGAGCTGGGGTAAAGCCCGAGCAGGCTCGAAAGAGGATAGCGCAACCTCACTTTAACCTGGCGGAAGTCACAAGCAAAAAGGTGTCTGTCAATTCTTTCCACTTGCTCCCCAAATTTCCAGCTGTTCATGCTCGCAGCAAAAGCAACAGTAACTGACTCTGACCTACCTACGTTAAGCATCCACCACTCCATCCCGTCCTTCGACAACACTCAAGTCAAAAGAGACGTTATCCTTGACACACCCAATCGCGGTTCGAGAATTCCAACAATCAGTTCCTGGAAACGTCATGGAAGCGGCTTGCACCCGATTTCGTCGCCAGCACTACCGTTTGTCAACTCTCTGAAGCGGCGGTTGAGGCACTGCGACATCGGAGCGTTCTACGCGACCATTCTGCCTTCTCCTAGCTTCACCGCCATCAACGACAGGAGCCTCCGAGGCCTCTCCCAGTATCGCTTTCCCAAGTAACTATGAATTCAGATACCAGACGCATACAAAACCACTACCCTCCGCGCGGCCCCCCGGCCACCCAAGAACTACTACCACGCCTACCCAGCTGATCGCCAACTCCGGGACTACATAACCAGCCCAACCATTATCGTATCCGTTATCCTCCTCTTCCTATCCGCCCTCTATCAGCTGTTATTCAGCGACCAGCACACTCGTACGCGCTTAAAAAACATCATCTGGGCCCGCGTGGTCGATATCATTCCCGCCACTTTACTCTTCAAAGTCGACGGCTTCCTCAACCCGCCGCTGTTCCCCAATCCTATGACGCCCGCAGAAATAGACGACTCGCACGAAGCCAAGAGCCAGGCTCTCGGGAGGATATTGGGTCTGGACAAGCCAGGAGGCGTCATGGAATCCGTTACTTCGGCTGGGCTTAAGGGCCTCAGCACCTTGTCCAGCGTCGGCTGGAGCTTCAACCAAAGCGCTTCAGATCGACCGGCAGGATTAGGAAACAACGACAACTCATGCTACCAGAACAGCATTCTCCAGGGCCTGGCTTCGCTCCAGGGCTTGCCCAAGTACCTTGCCCGGGTATCTGAAACCTACAGCGACGCCAAGTCGACGATGCCGACCACACAGGCAATGGCGGGCCTCATCGCAACACTCAACGACAAGGCCAACTATGGGCAATGTGTATGGCCACCCGGCGTACTCAAGAACATGAGCACGTGGCAGCAGCAAGATGCACAAGAGTACTTCTCCAAGTTGCTGGATCAAATCGACAGAGAGGTGGCCAAAGCTGCGGCAACCCACAAGAAGTCCTTGGCATTCGATCGCGATCAGCTGCAGGATGATGGTGCTAGCAGCCTCCACAGCGATGATAGCGGCTACCATAGCTCCGGTCAAAGTTCCTCTAAATCCGACGCACCCACGATCAAGAATCCGCTTGAGGGGCTTATGGCCCAGAGGGTAGTCTGTGTCAAGTGTAAGCACTTTGAAGGACTGGCTATGATTCCCTTCAACTGTTTGACTCTTAATCTCGGCTCTGGACAACTTGGGTACGACCTTTACGAGAGGCTGGACTACAATGCCCGTGTTGAGTTCATCGAAGGTGTGCACTGTCCCAAGTGCTCACTGCTCAAGATGCAGGAGAAGATCAAGGGTCTGATACAGATGCCCATGGTCGCAAATGATGAAACTAGAGTTTCGGAGTTTCGTGAGAGGCTAGCGGCGGTGGAAGAAGCACTCGAAGAAGATATGTTTGACGACAAGACGCTAGCTGAGAAATGCAAGGTTCCGGCTAAGCAGCGAGTCGAGTCGACCAAGACGAAGCAGACGGCAATCTCTCAGCCACCCAAGAGCTTGGTTATCCACATCAACCGATCAGTCTTTGACGAGAGGACCGGCTACATGTACAAAGACACTTCCGCCGTGAGGTTTCCCAGCATGCTGGATCTAGGACCTTGGTGCCTCGGAAGCGCGAAGAAGCGGGCTGATCTGGAAGGCGCAAACGGTATCCTTCCAAGCTCGACCAGCAACGGTGATCGAGCCGCGGAAGACGAGGAGAAATGGAATGTTGAGCCGACAGTCTCCATGGTGGCGGGCTCCCAACGCCCATCGACCCTGACTGGGCCACTATATGAGCTGCGTGCTGTTGTTACACACCAGGGCCGACATGATAATGGCCATTATGTTTGCTACAGGAAGCATTACATCAGCCCTCCCGAGAAGGAAAACCAGGCTGAGGTACCGCTACCACAGCTTGTTGCCGAGGATGAGGCTGCCGCTCCGCATATCCAGGCCCCGGACGAGAAATCAATTGTCGAGACAACTATTACGCACGAAGAAAGCGCCCCAAGCCCTGCCTCGGAAGATGAAGAGAAGACGCTCGTGAGTGATGCTGAAGAGGAAGCTACCTCGCAGTGGTGGCGACTAAGCGACACGGACGTCCTTAAAGTAGACGAAGAGAGCGTGCTTGAAAGGGGCGACGTCTTTATGCTATTCTACGAGTGTGTCGAACCGGAGATGGCACGGATACCGGAACGAGAACCCACGAGGACTCTATCTCCTCAAGCCGAGCTTGCCAATCACGTCGATGATCAGTCAGAGTCCGTTACGTTGGTTGGCTCAGAGAAGCCGGGGGATGTGGAGGTGGTTAAGTCCGAGGCTCCGAAGGCTGTAAAAGATGACCCAACAGCAAACGGAAAGGGGACACTTGAACCGCCGAAGACACCGGCCCATCAGACGGACCCAGCTACGGCGTCGGAGAGCATGGAAAAACTTGACTAGGACTCGGGCTACGAAAGCTCTGCTCCGATTTACTATTTGTCCCCCAGTCCTCTGAGCCGGCGGCATCATAAACGGGGTTACGGTAGCCTGAAGAGGACTGGCCCGAAGCATCATCACTTGAGGCGTCAATGTCCGAGACGTGTTTTTTCTGCATAGCGATACGGCGTTTAGGATGGAAATGAACAGGATGGCGAATGCCCAAGAGTCAAGTTGAGGGTTTATGGCTGCATTGGTATTGTGTTTTTGATAGTGCTCTTTAGACATTAGTTTTTGAATCTTGTTGCTGTCGGGAAAAGCCCAAGTGTAGTGTAAGCAGGCACGGAAGAGCAGGAAGCACAGCAGTACGATCAGCGATTTGATGTATTTGTTACGGTCAAGATAGACAGATTATTGTATCTACAAGTGCAGCCTCACCGCGTTCTGAGACGAGGCTATAAACATACTACAACCCTCCTTCCTGACTTGTGCGTCAGGGGTTCATCTCATGATTGTGAGCCCCTTGCTGCGAACGACGCCCGGGTACATCGATAATTCCCGAACTGGTGGAGTGTGTATTGTTCGATGGACCAGACCTACGAAGCAATAAGCCAATAGGATCCTTCAAAGCCTATCGACACGCTTTCGTCGGGTCAGTCTATGCACGTCAAAATGTCAAGCTGTCAGGTGCGGTAAGTGCATATGACAGACGTGGTTCGAAGTCGAAGTTTAACCGTGATCAACTTATGGAAGTCAATATTCTAATGATAGGCAAGAGAGGAGACCTTAATGTCTTGACCAAGACCTTTGTAGCCCTCAAATTTTGGAATGGCTTCAGAACAGAACGTGCAAGGACAAAATTAACGGGACAAGACTTGGAACACATGGATCATCCACTGCCCCACCACGGCCACTGATCACAGTCTTTCTTGGCTGCCTGTTGGTCCATAGGGCTGTAACCTTGCAAGTTGCAGGACTTCAACTTGCTTGTCAAGTCCGCGGAGGTCGAATGTCATCATTGATTTTCCTAACCCTCGTTTTTTGTCAGAAAGGGGAAGCAATTCAATCGGCACGGTACCGGCCCGTCAGCCCCTCACCAGCCACTGCTCCGAGTATGTACAAGATGTGTACCTCACATACAGTACGCATCTCACCCACCGTTAGGGCACACAAGACCAATCTACTGGGGCGTTGCACTGACCGTGACACCGGAAAGAGATTCGGTTTTTTGAGTTTACCGTTCACAATCCATAGTTCACACCCGCAGCCCGACGGATTTTAGTGTACTGACACAGGACGAATCAGGCACGGGAGCGATTTGAGTTGAGTTGACCAGGGATGCCCGGTTTAACCAATGATCTGCTGTCTTGGCCTTTGTAAAAACTCACGTCAAGCCTGGACCCCAATTCCCCGTCCCCTGCCAGGATTCCATCCAGTTGGTTCTGCCCCTGGCGCTGAGGCTGTTCCATCTTTGCTGCCTGCTGTGTTGAGTGCTTGCTGCCACGATCCGGGCCATCGCTGTCACTGTCAGTCGGCGTTTCCCCCAGCATTTGACAAATCTATCATCCCGTCATCAATCACACATCCGTTCATCCCGTCTCTGTTCTCACCTGTCAACCTCGGGCCCTCCCTCCACCACCCGGGTATCCGTTCGTTCCTCATCAGTCGTTATCCATCGTTATATCGGCAGTCGGCATAGCCTTATCGTTCTCGAAGCAAGCAAACGGAACCGGCATCATCATCAACAGCGCTTTCGGCGGAAGAAGAACACCAGTCTCATCTTGAAACAAAAAGTACCTCTTCACTTCTCACCAGGCCCCAAGCAATCAATCTCAACGCACATACTCCCAAGCCTCTTTTCCAATTGGACGCTTTCTGTTGGGGGCCAGAGCTTCGATAAGCTTACTTTGCGCCAGTAGCTTGGCCTCGGCAAGGCCAGGTATTGGTAGTGTACAGGGCACAGGGGAGGAAGAAGTCGAAGAAAAGAAAAGAAAAGAAAAGGGAAAAAAAGGGATCCAGGAACAGACCGTTTTGGGACTGTGTGTGTGTGGACTCTGTGGATTGTGGACTGCATTGCGAAAGTGAGACCCTGCGTCAAACAGCGAAGCTTGTAGCCCATTTCTTTGCGGACCACCACGGCACAACACACACACACTGCACTCTCACTCGCCCATTCAGCTGTCCTCTGGCTCGCTCACCCTCCTCCATTCCCCGTTCCCGTCTCATTCTGGAGCGTGTCTCTCGCTGAGAACGAAAAAAGACAGAAGCCAAACACAGTTTCAGTGCCACAGTGTCTGTCTCGTCTACACTCAGCCCAGTCTTCTTTTTGGGCCAAACCCTTTCCGAACCTCTGCGGCACCTTAACGGCACAGCAACGGCTAGGCTAGCCCTCCAGCAAGAAGACACTTCCAGCTGCTCCTCCTCCTCCCGTTCTTTCTTCTTGTCCCTTTCCTCTCTGCAGGTTGGGATTTGTTCAGCCTCCTCCAACTAGTCCCCTCCTTCTTTAGGGGCCCTTCTTTGACCAAGGGGGTGTTTGCGCGCGCTTCAGCCTGTGTGCGACTCGCTTTTTCTTTTCGATACCTCTTGTCAGGGACCACGGTCGCTTGTCCACTCGATTCACCGGCGGCACTACCGATCACCCGGAACTTAAGCTTTTCTTGGCTTTGATCTTTTGGATTCCTCGGGATATCGCCCTGACTTGAGCCGTTCGCAACAAAGCGGTCGTTCGGGTTGCGTCTGTGTTTGGACTTGTGGTTCACGATCAGATACACGATACACATCAACTCACCATCACTCGCTCTGTAGACATACTAATCCGTCCGAGGTGGCCATCACTGACCTTGCTCTGACCCTCGTTAATACCTATTATCTCCACCTTTCGTTCATCAACAACCCAGTCGTCGATCATCATGGCCGACGATATCGAGACCCAGGCTGAGAAGGCTCAACCGGTGACCCGTCATTCATCCAATCTTTTATATCGCGTAAGGATCCTGCCTTCCACGCCTTCCCAGGGGGCGCGCTGTTGACCACTTGACCTTTTGGCAGGAGTTGGATATTCTTCTCTAATCTCACCATTCTTTTCAACAAGTGGTTGCTTGACCCAGACAGGTTCAGTGAGTACACATGTCCTTACACATGTACGCGTCTTGCCGAACTATACTGACTCTTATAACTGATAGGTTATCGTATGTTCATCAAATATCTGTCCCTGCTTTCACTCACCATAGCCAACTAACCATGAAACCTCGCAGCCACTATCCTAACATGTTGGCATCTCATCTTCGCAACCATCGCCACCCAGCTTCTCGCCAGGACAACCACCCTCCTCGATGGCCGCAAGAACGTCAAGATGACGGGCCGCCTCTACCTGCGCGCCATCGTCCCCATCGGCTTCCTCTTCAGCGGCAGTCTCGTCTGCAGCAACATCGTCTACCTCTACCTCAGCGTCGCCTTCATCCAGATGCTCAAGGCCGCCGCGCCCGTTGCCGTCCTGCTGACCGCCTGGGTCTGGGGCGTTGAGCAGCCGTCGCAGTCGAAGCTGATCAACGTGCTGTTAATCGTCTTTGGTGTCGGACTTGCCAGCTTCGGCGAGATCGCTTTCTCGCTCAAGGGTTTCCTCTACCAGCTCGGTGGAATCGTGTTCGAGGCCATGCGCCTCATCATGATCCAGGTTCTGCTTAAGGGCGACGGCCAGAAGATGGACCCGCTCGTTAGTCTGTACTACTTTGCGCCCGTCTGCGCTTCCATGAATTTTCTGGTTGCGCTGGTCACTGAGGTCCCCTCCTTCCGTATTGCCGACCTTTACAACACGGGCCTTTGGTGTCTCCTCTTGAACGCTGTGGTGGCGTTCATGTTGAATATCAGCAGTGTCTGCCTTGTACGTTTCTTTCTTTCTTGCTTCTCTCTCCCCCCCTTCCCCCCCCCCCCCCCCCCCCCCCCCCCCCTTTTCCTGTTCTTGTTCCCCCATTCATAGCCTGTCCTGTCCACTAACAAAAACCACACAAAACCGTCTAGATCGGCAAAACCTCCGGCCTAGTAATGACCCTCACCGGCATCCTCAAGAACATCCTCCTCGTCGGCGCCTCCGTCATGATCTGGCAGACCTCCATCACCCCGCTGCAGTTCCTCGGCTACGCCATCGCGCTCGCCGGACTCGTCTACTACTCCCTCGGCCGCGACCAGATCGTCGAGATCGCCACCCAGCTGTGGACCTTCCTTCGCAACGTATGGGAGAACTCGCCAGTTTATTCGTCTGTCTCTTCGTCATCAGAAGAAGGAAATGGTCAACAAGGACAAGGAGGAGGCTTGCCGTCGGCGGTTCGAAGAGCGCTGTTAATGGGACTAGGCGTTATGATTGTCGTCATCTTGGCGGCTGGGTATATCTATAGCGGGGTTGACCCAAGTGGTGGCGATGGTGGTGCGGTGGGTGTCGCCAGGCCGCTTGGGGGTGGTGGGGACGCGAGTGGTGTTAAGCCTCCTGTCCAGGTGGCTTCATGATTCATGATTCGGGGGCAAGAGCACGGTGATGGATGGATGGATGGATGGATGGATGGGGAGATGGCCTGCTTGAACACAGCCACAACGAAAAACAAAATGACGAAAGACGGAAAGACGAAAGGATTTAAGAAACGACCGGTTTAATCGATGGAACGAAACGATTTGAAAGGGAAAAAGAACTGAAACGCCTCGAGATATCCATCCATCCAATGCCTCCTCCGTTCTGTCTATCTATCAACGAACAAGACAGATATTGTACACGGCCAGCCGGAACTACGAAAAAAGGAGTGTCTAATACTAGGGAGGTGGATTTGGAAAAAGGATTTGGGCTGGATACTCATGATATAACAACACGACGAAATACCACAAATACAACCAACCAAGGACCGAACGGAACCGGCTAGTGCTAATAAATATATGCTGTATCACCACTACTGTTTCTGGATGATCTTGAACTGGGGAGAAGTGAATTTAGATATATTTAGAGTAGGATGGTGGCTTTGGACGTTAAACGATTTTGTTGTATTATTGTTGATTTAATACATACTACAACGACACGGCATCTACCTAACTTGTTTGGATTCTGGACTGGTTGTTACTGGTTGACACACTTGCTACTACCATATAGTAGCTACACTCTGCGACAGGAAGCCGTCATAAATACATGATATAGGTAGGTAGGGGTGGGTGGTGATAGTCTTGATACACAGTGATGGATACAATTACTTTCTTGAGCGCATGATGCGTCATGCTTGTATTTGTTGGTTTTGGGTTTGGTTTGCCAAAGTGACTTCTGTATTATCGATTGACTATCTACCAACCTGATAATAACACGACTGACTAAGTTATATCTATCTGCCTCTCTTTCTTGCCATCTTGGGGATTCACCAGAAGTCAGAAGTCAGTAACCTAGACGTCCCTACCGTCTTTGACTACGACTCCTATCCCGTCTCCCTCTTCCGCCCGCTCGATCTCCACCACGATCCCTATCGCGGTCGCGGTCGCGGTCACGTCTGGAAGCCGACAGACTCCTGTCCCGCCTTGTGCTATGATGATGACTGTTACGGCGAAGATCCCCTCCTCGGTCCCTGTCACGATCCCTATCGCGACTCCTGTCCCGTCGACTGTCACGACTCCTCTCGCGCCTGCTGTCCCGGTCGCGGTGACGGTCGCTACGGTCTCGACTCCTAGATCGGCTACGACGCCGGACTATCGAGCTTCGACGGCGATCGTCTCGCGTGTCGCGGTCTCTGTCCCGCTCACGATCTCTATCACGATCACGATCGCGGTCCCGGTCCCGGTCCCGGTCGCGACGGTCCCTATCCCTATCCCTCTCTCCCCTCTCATCGCGGCCTCGGTCACCATCATAGCGATCCGGGCCCGGACGAGGTTTGTCCCGGTCTCTTTCTCTCCCCCTTTCGCGTTCTCTATCGCGTTCACGTTCGCGCTCCTCCCTGGCTTCCCTGGCCTCTCTGTCCCTCTCCCGATCCCGCTCGGCAACAACCCTGGCAGCAGTGGAGGGGACATAGCGGTTATCGGAGTCGATCAGCGGCGCTTCACGCTCACGTTCACGCTCGCGCTCGCGATCACCACCACGGTTATTATGGTCGCGGCTGTTGTTGTTGTTATTGTTGTTGT